TACCGTTAGACATTAATTAGGCCTCTCTATTTAAAACCCCATCATCACAATCACTGCCACTCTCATAATTCTCTAAACCATCGAATTTCTTCTTTCACTCTCAAATTGCTCTCTCTTCCAAAAGCCAAACTCACAAATTCTCTCACGAAATCAGTCACAATGTCTAACCCTCAAGATAACCCAGGCACTCCTCCACAACCTACCCCCACTGATTCATCCACCCCTCCTCCACCCAACACAACCCCTCAACCTAGGAGAAGGCGAGTAAAAATGCTTGCTCGTAAAACGGTGGCAACCAGTGCTCTTTCAAAGAAATTGAACGAGAAATTAAAGGCAAGCCAAGCCCAAGATTCTGAGAACTCAAACGATTCGTTCAAATCTGCAAGTGAGGGGGAAGGAACTGGGTCTTCTGACTCTGAGAAGGCTCAAAACTCCCCTTCTGAGGTACGTTCTATTTTGGTTATCATTAGATTGATAAATTATGCTTGACTCCATGATTGCATTTGAAGTAGTCTAATGGCCATGAATAATTTCTAATAAAATCTGGTTATGTAACATAATTATGCAACTTTTCGATGATGCCAAATGGCGGAAGATAGGTGGTGCTTTTTACTTTGGATTGTGATGTTTATAACCTACTGAACCTGGTCCTTGATGATTAGTGATTTTAAAATTAAAAGTGTTCTAACATTGTATTGATGTTGAGCTGAGTTGAAACAGCTTATTCTTATGAAAAGCACAGAGTTTGTCATCATCAAAAAGGGGAAATTTGTTGGCCCAAGTGAAGTTTTATTTGATGATTGACAAAGGAACTCAAGCATGAACCTGATCCATACACAGTGTACACAAACACGAGCAGATTCAAGCATAAGGCATGCACGTGAAGGAGATAATCTTAAGTGGTTAGGTTTGTTCTGGTTGGGTCTGTTAGGAATGTGGAATTGCCTGAGTCAAAAAGGAGAGGTGGTAAAAATAAAGATGAAAAAGAAAAGGAGAGTGAGGGTGTGCGTAGTAATGTGAGGGGAAAAGGGATAGAAGTGGCTGGTTCTTCACCCACTTCTGAATTGGTGGTACCAACCATCTGTGGGGTTGAACATGCAACTGTGGAAGAAAGTAGCAAGAAGACAGGGGGAAGTGGCTCAGGGGAGGCTGCTGAAGGGTTGGTTAATCTTAGTTCACAGGCAGATGAACCGGGTTCATCTGTTGAGGAGACCCTAGCAGACCTTCTGAAGAAAGTGGGTGCTAGCTATGATCCAAAGAAAAGGAGAACCCCAACACCAAAAGCCCCCAACACTGCAAAACCTTCCAAGAAAAGAAAGGCTTCTTCCCCAACAACTGCTGAAATTCCCTTGTCAAAGGGGAGAGCCACAAGAAGTATGGTGAAACAGAGTGAGAGTGAATTACAAAAGGCTTTGGCTGAAAGCAAGAATAAGAGGATGGATAAAGGAAAAGCTAAGGTTGTAGAGCCTTCTGAGGTTGTTGATGTTGAGGAGATTGGAACAGGTCCATCAGGAGAAACATACAACTGTGGAGGTTCAGGACCCCAGGCCTAAAAAGACCAGGACTTCTTCCAAGAAGTTTTCATCAGGGTCTAAGGTTGTTGAACCTACATTGGCCAAGAGGACAAGGTCTGCAGTGAAAACAAACCAGTTAAAATTGCTGAGGATAAAGAATGGAGTGGTGAAGAAGAGAGTGAGTCTGATGGTGAATAGGACAAGCTTGCCAAGTTTGGCAAAAGAAAAATTCTGAAGGGTAGATTGCTGAAAGGCTTGGTGAACCAGGAATGGTTCGATTGATTGATGCACTAGCTGCTCAGGGCTGGAAGGACATGGTCCTTCAGATGGATGGAAAGCTAGCTAGAAATGAAATCATTGAATTCATGGCCAACGCAGAGGTCAAGGATGGCAGAGTTACCAGCCAAGTGAAAGGAGTTCTGGTGACCTTCGATGCAGAGAAGCTGGGTGAGATTCTTGACATCCTTGCTGAGGGATATGATGACTACACTAGGCAAAGATGGCCCAGTCTGGATTCCCTTCCTTCTGCCCTTAAAATCACTAGAAGATTCTGTGATGTTGAAGAAGTGAATGAGGCCAAGTTTGTGCACAAGAGTGAAATGAAGCCACAACACAAAGTCCTCTTTGAATTTGTCAACAAGTGCCTACTGCCTAGGCAGGAAAGAAGGCACATTGCCAACTATATGGACCTAGTTCTGATGGAGTGTCTTGAAAGTGGAAGACAAATCAACTGGCCTGCATTCATCATCAAGCTACTAGACAGGGTTATCAATGGCTCCAAGGCCCATGCCACCCCTTATGGATTTATTCTGAATACTGTACTATATCGATGCAAGGTGCCTCTGAAGAAGTGGGAAATGGCCACAAGCAAGGACCATTTTGGCATAAATACTTTGATTGCTTGTGACTATCTAGTCACTGCCATTCCCAATGAACCTGGTTCATCCAAGAAGACACCTATCAATAGTAAAGTCAGGGCTCTAGTTCAGGAAAGTGGGGCCAAGGATGCTGAGATAGCTAGGCTGAAGGCTCGCTTAGCAGAGGTTGAATCTGAGAGGGATGCTCTCATAACTGGGCTCACCAAGGAAAAGGACAAGAATGATGGCATTCTTCAAAATATGCTGAACCTTCTCCAAGCCCAAAACCAACCCTCTAGCTCCCCCAAGCCTTAGGACTTCTAGCTTTCATCTCCTGAACCTGTCTAGTACCACCAGTGACCCAGATTAGGGATTTTTCTTTCTTTTGCTCATGTTTTGAATATTTTTGCTTTCTTTTTGTGGATTGTGGTAGCAACATATCTTCTATCAATGATATCTGTTGTTTTTGCTCTTGTTGATTGTTAATATTTCCTTGATAGTTTGAAATGTTTGCTTGATTACTGATGATTAATCCATGATTGCACTTGAAGTTGTCCCAGTGGCCATGAGTAATTGTTAAAATTCTGGGACTCACACTTTGTTTATGCAACTTTTCGATGATGCCAAAAGGGGAAGAGATATTGTGCTTTGTATATTCTGAATAAGTGATGTTTATAACCTAATGAACCTGGTCCTTGATGATAAGTAAATTTTTCTAACTTTGTATTGATGAATAAGCTGAGTTCTGACAGGGCCTAAGTGAGTGAGAAGCACAGAATTTGTCATCATCAAAAAGGGGAATTTGTTGGCCCAAGTAAAGGTGAAGTTTTGAAGACTGACAAAGGAACTCAGACATGGACCAAGTCCATCTTGTGAAGCACAGTTATGATCAACTCAAACATGTGAGATGCACGTGAAGGAGATAAACCTAACATATCAGAAGTGTTATCTCCTGATCATGATCGAAAACGTTGCATATTGGATAAGGAGAAAGACTCCTTACACAAAGAGAACACGGTTTAGGAAAAGGATAGAGTTAGAGTATGAGATCAACTAGAACTCTTCCACCATGAAAGAGTAGCGTTTGTATCCTAGTCAATCTCTAATTACTAACCTCTTAAATATTAGTTTTGTTCTCTTTTACAGGTAATGCACATAAGCAGAAGTTAAACGTAAATTGAGAACAAAATAGCAAGGCAATTTTGCAAGCAATTTATGTGTGATTCAAGCGTGCAATCCTGAAGCTACTTGAACCAGATAGAAGAACCAGTTCCAAGTGTCTATCTTTAATTCTAGTTCAATTGTAGTAGGTGATTTTACATTGTACCTTTCAGCTTATTTAGAATTGTATTAGGTACTTAAAGTTTTCAAGTTAGAGTTAACTTGAAGTTGTCGCAACAGTTGAGGTTGTGTGCCACAACGGGATTAGAGTTAATCCTAGGTTTACACAAGAGTTTTTGTAAATGCAGTTTTTGGCTCAGTGATTTTAGTGGAGAGTTTGGGAAAATCCTACTGGAAGGTAGGTCGTGGTTTTTTCACCCTTTGAGCCAGGTATTTTCCACGTAAAATCTCTGTGTTCTTTATATTCTGTAGTTATTATTCCGCGACAGTAGTAGTTGGAACACATAGAAGAACCAGGTCCTTCTATAATCAAGTTAAGCGAAAATTGGGTACCACACAAATCACCCTCCTTCTTGTGTGGTACTGACGTATAAACATCAGTTTAGATATATTTTTTTTTTATGAAAAATGTTTAGTTCAGATATTAGCTACTTAACAGTTACATAACTGATCCTCCAACTCTCCAAACACTTCGGTACTGCAGAAAATAAAACCTTCCAACCAGGGCCATCAAGGTAAATTCACTTTTTTATAAAGGCCATCAGTGTAAATTCATAAAGTCAGATTGACAAGTCAATTCAAACATTTCTCTTCACTATAACGTCGATTATATGGTGATTACATATTATCAATTTTTCTCTTGGTGGAATACATGGTGACTTTTTATACCCAGATTTCAATTCGTCTGCTACGAAGAGACGGCGTGACCATATTTAGATAGTGAGATAAATGTGGCATCAAGACAAAAATTAGTTAGGAGGAACCAACTCTCAAAAGTTTACAGTCACCAGCTATTTGCAATCTACGGAAGGTGAATGGCTTCAAATGCAGTTTATGGCATCTGATGAGGCAGCATGACCTCCCCCTCTCCCTCTCCCTCTCCCTCTCCCTCTTACACACACACACATATATCAAGGCCAGTGGTCAAATATGCACTAAGAGAAGACTCTGCATCTCTCTCTTCAAGAATAATCACATGAACTGTCAGAACATGGGGCCTTCACACTAATTAGCACCCCTATGTTCATTAGATAAATCTTCACTTCAGAGGCTAATATGCTATAAGGTAAAACCAGATATTCGGCCAGAAAGACGAGTTAACTTGATATGTTTACTCAGTTCTCCACCTGGTAGTAAGTTTGCCCCCAAAAAAGGCGAGTTAACTTGAGATGTTTACTTAGTTCTCCCTTTGGTATTGTAAGATTCTTCTTCTTTGAGTGCTTTCGATTTTCCCTTTTATGTTTAGCACATGTACCAGCACATCATAACATAAAAACTGAAATAGATAACCTCACATTTGGAATTAGCCACTAAACAGGAAAAAGAAAAAACATAAGAATAGAAGCAATACTGACGTGCTAGTTGTTGAAGGTCGATAAAGTCTCAGGCTAAATCGATTCCCGAGATCAATTTTGTCAACAAGGGGCCTTGCATAGCCTGCACACAGATAACAATGAGAATTAACCATGTATAAATGAACTAGTAAGGAAGATGACAAAATAAATCAAAAATTAACGCGCAAACCTTCAAGCCCAGCAGTAAACAAGACAAGATCGGCAAATTCACTGAGTTCTTTTAAAAAGTCGTGCAATCCAGGACGTTCAAAAACTGTGACATAGTTGATCTTGGGTTTGCCGTCGCACTCCTAAAACCATCCGGAATATATTGAGATAACTTTTTCAAGAAACTTGCAAATCACATAATCATAGACAGAAGAGGGAACCTTGTCCGAAGATATGCACTCAAGCTCAAACCACTTCAATCCGGCCTCTGTGGCCTGGGTGCGTACGATATTGGGCAAACTTGATGTCTCATATGCACAAACTAAAGTTTCATCCAAATCAAGAACCACCTGCAAGCAATAGTTAAGAAATGTAGCTTTCTGATACATTTGATCGCAATAATCTTACAAATTCCAGAACGCCTTTGAGTTTTTAACTTTCAACTGAAGAACATCAACTCTTTAAACCAAGAGGATGTATTCACATACAAATGTAGAAGCAAAATGCAAGACTGAAAGCACCAAAAAGCATGCAGAATCTTTCACCCTCCGTGATTGCCATTTGAAATGAATCCACCTCAAATTTAATAAGGAGGATAACAAGACAGCCAATATGCAAACAACGTATTAACTCTTCAGGGCATTGATAGGGTTGACAGAGATCCTACTAACCAAGGCCTGCCTAGCAAATACAGGAAGAGCTGCATTCACTTTATCAAACAAAAGAAACAAATACAGGAAGAGCTATAATACACACAAAAGAAATGCCATCAATAACTACGCCTCAGTCACGAACTAGTGGGAGTTGGTTATATGAATCATCTACAATAGTACACAGAAGAGAAACGTCACATCATAAATATTTCTGATGATATAGCAAGTCATGGAGTTGACATCAGTCACTTTGTTTTTCCTTTTTGGATAAGTGACATAAGTCAAGATTTAAACATCTTAGAAGTCGACATCAGGATATAGAGAGGTATTGTTTGGCTCCAATAATCTCCTACAGTTCAGATGTCTTCCATCAATTGTCCGGGAGTTTCTCTTGGTTTAGAATTCCTCTAGTACACATGGGCAACATTAATAGGGAATAGAAGACACAAATAGTCCCCTTAGGACATGCTATTATACCACTTTTCTGCACCAGAGCCTGCACCATAACCCAACAACAGCAATTGTCATAACTAAAACCTATCTAACTCTCTTGAAACCATTCCCAAGTTTCAGTCGTCCTATCTCTCTCATTCCCAAGCTACAGTTCCACTAATAACATAAACCTTGCCCAGCATGCCATCTTCCCAATAAACTAAAGAAAAAGTATTACAGCAAAGAAAACAAGAATAAAGAGAAGAAATCAAAGAAACTATACATATTTAAATAATTAAAATAAAAACAAAAGAAAGAACATGAAAACAGCCAACAAATAACAAGAATCAGCGTATGCTTTCTTGTAAACCATTGCAATTCCCCTTCCATTCACATTATATTCAGACATATTAACATTTCTTACACATTTCATTTGTTACCTTTTCATCAATCTCATCTTTTGACCCTCCTCCTATCCTCTCATCCATCATAAGTTCCCTCTATAGCTCCCTTCCTACCATCTTCTTTGATAATTGACTTCCTTCCCATTACTGATACAAAAAAAGTAACTTCCTTCCCATAGCAAGTTGTAGTTTCCATTAAATACCTCCATCTAAACTGAACTACCTAAGTCATTGTAGTTAAGCATGCTTCCACCTCATACAGCTCCTCCGGCAATGGAGGTTGATTCCCCATCCATGAGGCCTCTCCAACATACACACATACGTACGTACATTAAAGTAATGGAAATAACAGATCCTGCACTACCACAGCCTGCAGCAAAGCCCAACCACAGCACTACAGACTAACCGTTTTCATAAGTTCTTATCATTCGTCATATTTATCTGGTTTGCATGGTATAGTTGCACTAACAGCATAAACCTTTCTGAGCATGCCAACTTCCAATAGACAAACGAAAGAAAAATTGGAAAAATAGGAATAAAAGAAGAAACCAAAAGAAACAAAACCAGAACTGGCAGCAATATGGAAAATCAGACCACTCCTATTTCTAGTAAACCAGAAAACTTTCGCCTGTCCTTCCACACAAATATTCCGACATATTGATACTTCTTATACACATTTGCACTTTTCCTGTATTTCATCAATTTCATTTCATATTCTTCCTGTCCTATTCATTCATCACCACTGCCAACTTGAACTTCTTTCCCTATTGAGTTGTTATTTTCATTATATACCTCCATTTAACTACCTTGGAATCTAGTTGCATGTCATATGCACGTCCAGACTAAAGCAATGATGCGTGGATATTCTCTTCCCAGCTTGTTTCCGTTTAATCACACTACTGAACCACCTTAACCATTGTAGCTTATCTTGCTTCGGACTCATATGGCTCCTCTAGCTGGAGATGGATTAGCACATTCCAATATGGCTTCGACATAATACATGGAAGTAATGGTAATAGTTTGAAGAAGAATTAGAGATCCCCCTTGATACCCAGAAAAGGAAAATAAGTTCTAGTGCATCACCTCCTAGGAAATAATTGGAGAAATGCACGCCCATGCAATTCGGAATTAAAATTTAACAGTTTATGTCCATGCATTGCTCTTTCAGAATGAATCATTAAGAAACTTCCCTTTCTTGTTTCTCCATCTAATGTTTCCTTTTTGGTACTTAGGTTTATGGCAACACTAATTAAGCGAGAAAAAGCTACAACAGATGAGCTACGGAGAAACTCCTAACTAAAGAAGTAACAAATAATAGTCATTCATCCCAGCACCGATTAGCTAGGTGTGCAACCTGAAATAAAGTTTGCAGCTCTAGAAGAACAGTGCCAGAATATTTGGCTACAAGATGAGTCCTAAAATTCCTTAAGACTAATTTTCATTTTGTCTGCTTCAGTAGATGTCAATATTAAAACTTCTTCCAAATTCATCTTGCTAAAATTGAATAACTACTAATTATTACTCCTGTATAAACTTGTGTTGCTCATAATAACTATATATATCACTGAGTCTCTTGCCTCTTAAAAGTGTTGGTTTCGCAGTGCAACCAAGATTGGTTTAACATTAAATTCTGTTGCTGTCCTCAGAGAAGAAGCCAAAATTTGCAGACCTAATAGTATCCACAAACTTTAATACCAGCGGAAAATGATACAGTTGAATTGATTGTTTGACAATCTGATCAACTCTTTCTCTCTTTATCCTTTTTTTTAAATGAAAAGTTCACAATCTGATTAACTCATGTGTTGAAAAGTAACTTAGTTTTAAGAAGGCATCAAGCACTTCATCTGAATTAGAGTAAGTAGCTAAACATAAAGCTAAGGAAGCATAACAAATAATGAACAACTCAAACGAAATCTATGAACCAAAATATTACTTATGATTCTACTCAAAATTACGCTTTAACTCCTAAAACATAAGCTCGAGATCAATATTTAATAAGCTTTAACTATTTCTACAAAACGCATACCTTGAGTCTTCGTACATGTTGCTCGCCCTCACCATCCGGAACTCTTCCGGCGTCGATTTGCAAGGTGGAAACAGCAACAGACGGTTGCTGCGGCGGCGGCGGCGCCTCCTCGGGCAGCTGAGACTCCGGCAGTTCAACAATAGGCAGCGGCTTGAACTGCGGCGGGGAAGAGAGGAAAGAGCTACTATTACGTAAGCCGACATACGAAAGTACCTGACTCAGAGACGGCGTTCCTCTAACGATCTGAACGAAGATCTGAATAAAGAAAGCCAACCAACTCAGCAGCGACCTCCAAGCTGGTAGACTCCTCGGCGCGTAAACGTCCGCGGCGGCTTGAGCCAGCTCCGCCATATATATCTTCACCGGTAGATGCACAGAATGCTAACGTGTACAGTGGCTGGCGTTTCACCAGTTTCTTACAATTTTATCTCGTTTTGTGAATTTTTATATATGAAAATCCTTAATAAATTAGGAAATTGGAGTGCGGGCGGAGGTGTGGTCAAGGTGGCGCCTCGACGAAGAAGTCACAGTCATTGAAATCTAGATAGATAGAGAAAATGAGACGATAAACAGAGGGGAATTGTCACGCGCCGGTGGGAGAGCGTGGGCGTTGGTGCTACTTAGTGAAGTGGGAATTCTAATTAATTAAGTTATGCTTTTCTTCTGCGTAGCAATTAATTTTTGTTTATTAAATCAACGCAGCAAAGCATAAATGCCGCTGTATATATTTTGTCCAGCGGATTCCTTTATGCAAAGTGCAAACCATCATTTTATATTCTTAGCTCACCATAAGTACAAGGTAATTTGCTATTCCTTCCGGTCCACAATAAGAGACCAATTTTATTTTTTTATTTTGATTCAAAATAAGTGGTCATTTATATAATCAAAAAAAATTCAATTTATTTTTACAAGATTACACTTGTGTACATATCCCTAAAAAGTTTTCTTACTCCTCACATTAAATATTTAATTAAGGGTAGTTTAGTCATAGTAGGTATTTTTGTATAGAATTCTTAGTAGGCATATCAAAAACAAATTGGCCACTTATTGTGGATCAGAGGGAGTAATTTATATTTTTCACAAGAAGAATTTTCAGAGCAGGCACGCTTACTAATTCACTCTTTTCTTGTGTTCTAAATAATAACTCATGAGAAATCTTTAACATATGTGGAGATTAACAGGTATACATAGTACATATTTAATTGGTCGCTTCGAAATGAGTTTTTAATACGACTACATTTAGGGTGTTCGTCTGTCTGTGCGGTACGGTATTTAGATATTTGGTTCGGTATTTTCGATATTCAGTTTCTTAAAATGCTATATCAATATTGTGCCTAATTATATTCGGTATAGTTTGTCTTTTCCCCTTTCAGTTTCGGTTTATTCGGTACGGTAACTTCGATTTGTTCGATTTCAATATTAACTAGTGCATAAAACCATAGACGGTAATAATTTTAATTAAAGTAGTCACAAATATAAAATAAAAACGTTCTAAGCTCACATGACTATCGACAAAATTTTGTCCAAAACCAGCAAGTATCAACCCATAGAGAGAAAAAAGATACATAAAGAAATAAATTTAATTATTGAAAATGGCTTAAAATACAACAAGGACTAATCCAACAGATGCAATTCAACACATGAGAAGAAATACCCTAAAACCGTAAAAGTATTATGTTAAGATGCTTGGCATCCTAGAGAATAAGAGTCAAAATCTGCAGCCTACGTTGTTCCTCTGTTTTCCTAAAGAAGTACATGGGCTTTACTGCCAGCCTCAACATACATACCAAAGAAAAGTATTATGTAACTTAGTATGTTATAATTTTTTTTTTTTGGTTAAAAGGGTTATAATATTAATATGCTAGTTAACAAAAGAAACTACATCAGGGACATTGCTAGGGTATTGTAGTACCCCCATAGTTGTAATGTTGTGCACGATTGTGTTTATATTACAACCCTCAAAAGATCTAACTAGTTCAGTTCCTAGGATGTCTGCCCAAAATACATCATGGACAAACATCGGAGGAACTGATAATATCCTAGACTTGTTCAAAAAGATTTCCTTTGCTGCTTTCTTGGCCAATGCATCAGCTACTATGTTCTGCTCCCGATAGATGTGCTTCACTACCACGTTGTCCATCCTGTGAATTAGTGACCTGGATTCACAAATTAGAGGGTCATAAATCAGACTTCCATTCAAAAGCATATTGATGGTTTCAGATGAATCAGTGTTTATTTCCAGGGGAGCCAAGCTGTTTTGCTCCGCTAGTTGTAGACCCCGTAGGAGAGCCTGTAATTCTACCCTAGTGTTTGTAGTGTGAGGGATATTGTCCATCTATCCCAGTATCCAGTCGCCATTGTGGTTCCTAAATACTCCTCCTAATCCTCATATTCCTGGGTTCTCCCTGGCTGCTCCATCTGTATTTAGCTTGTATAAACCTCCGGTTGGGGGCTCCCATTTTAACACAATATGATGTGTTACCTTTGTAGAGCCCTTTTTTGTAAGCATAAGGTATTTAGTAGCTTTTGACACTGTGTTTATGGCGTTGATGTGTTCCTTCTTATTATTGAATAAGTTATTGTTCCTAGTTAACCATATGTGCCAAAAGTAGAAGGGAATGAGATTGTCCCAAAGGATATAGTTGTTGAAAGGGACATTTCTGATAGAGTTCCATGTTGATTGCCACTGATGGCCATTGAAAACTGGAGCCTGATGTGAACTGTTCCTTGAAGAACTGTTCCTTGAAGAATTTGATTGGATTTCATTCCAGAATTGGACAGCATTAGGGCACTCAAAGAAAATATGGGCAATAGTTTCCTAGACACTGTTATAATAAGGACATTGAGGGTCACAGTTGATCCCAATTGTATGGAGGAAGCTCCTAGTTGGGAGCCTCTTATGGGTGAGAAGTCAAATACTTGATTTTGTTGGGGGCTTGCAACTTCCAGATCCATTTAAATGAGCTTTCCTCACCAGAATGGAGGTTGGTGACAGTCCTGCTTAGGAATGAGTAAGCAGAACTATTTGAGAACTGGTCATTAGGAGTCAAGTTCCATATAAGGTTGTCTTCTTTAGTTGGAACAGGGGGAATAAACACAGAGTTCAACAGGTTCATGATACTTGGAGGTAGGGCAATGGACAAAGTTGATGTGTCCCAAGTTCCCAGGTTGTGGATTGAGCTAACCTTAGCATTTAGGTCATTTTGGAGTAATGGGCCCTCAATCATCTGTCTGATTGCTGGCTGATTAGGGATCCATACATCATTTAAGAAGTTGATCCTGTTTCCTCTGTGGACTACCCATCTGCTTGTTTTATTGCATATTTCCTAGCCCTTTAGGATGCCCTGCCAGATTGGAGATTTTGGGTGTCTAGGGTATCTAGAGGCTCTAACTGACCTAGCATTGTTGGACATCTTGCAGTGTTTATGAATTAGAACTCTTGCCCATAGACTGTTAGTATTCTTATAAGTTCTCCATGCAAGATTGGTAAGGGAAGCTTTGTTCTTGATACTAGCCTTTAGGAGTCCTAGCCCTCCCTCAGCCTTGGTCTTAGTGACCACCTCCCACTTGATTAGATGTAACTTCTTCTTTTCAGGGGTGGTGCCCCAAAGAAAGTTCCTTTGGATTTTGTCAATCTGATTTGTAACTTTAGTGGGCAATTTGATGTACTGCATTACATGGCTAGGAATGTTGTTTAAAGAAGTTTTGGCCAATACTGTTCTTCCAGCCATGTTGAGGAATTTGGTTATCCAACCAGCCAGTTTGGATTGCATGTTAACAATGATGAATTGAAAGTCTGCAGATGTTTGTTTTTTATGAAGAATGGGGAAACCAAGGTATTTTCCAAAGGATGCTGTGTGCTGGATGGACAGGGAGTTGGAGAGGTTCTGTATGGAGTCCTGTGGAATGTTTGAGGAAAACAGGACTCTTGATTTGGTAAGATTGATTTTTTGTCGTGACTGCTCATTGAAGTTTTGCATAATGGAAAGAATGGTATTACAGTTCCTGTCATTGGCTTTAGCAAATAGGGTTAGGTTATCCGCAAAGAAGAGGTGGGATATTTTCCAGATCTGCTTATACTTATGGGCTGTCATTGGTTATCTAGGATTGCCTTATCAATAGATCTTGATAGTCTTTCCATGCACATAATGAATAGGTATGGAGACATAGGGTCTCCTTGCCTAATGCCTCTTGAAGGTTTGAAAGAATCAGTTTTTCCCCCATTGACAAGAATGGATATGGATAAAGAACTGATGCAGGACATAATGAGCTTGGATAAGCCTTGGGGAAAGTTGAAAGCAGCGAGGGTGTCTCTAATAAAGGACCATTCCAGGCTATCAAAGGCCTTCTCTAGGTCAATTTTTAGGATCATGTTGCCACTTTTCCCCCTCATTTTCCTGAAGTGAGTGATGTATTCTTGGACAATGATGGAATTATCACAGGCTCTCCTATTAGAAAGGAAGCTGGCTTGGCTTGGCCCAATGATATGGGGCAGGATAAGCTTTATCCTGTTCACAATAATTTTTTGTGACTGACTTGTAAATGGTGTTACAAAGTCCTATTGGCCTAAAGCTTTTTAGCATTGAAGCTTGGGGCATTTTGGGATTAGGCACAAGAGAGTTTGGTTCATGGTGCCATCCATAGAGCTTGTAGAGAAGCATTTTTGATAGAAGTTTGTAACAGAGTCCCCTACTATATCCCAACACTTTTGGTAGAATAAGGGGTGGAGGCCATCAGGGCCAGGAGATTTAAAGGGTTTATGAGAGAAGAATGCCCTTTTTATCTCACTCAGATCAAGAGGTCTGTCCAGAAAAGCTCTTTGGCTTTCAGACAGAATGGGTAACATAGTGGAGTGGCTGGTGAAAGCCCAAGGGGCTTTAGTGTGGGATGTGGTATATAGCTCAGTGAAGAAGCCCAGAATTGCTGCATGAATATCCTTCTGGTCATGGAGCCAATTTCCATTTTCTTCTTTAAGAGAGAGGATTATGTTCCTCCTTCTTCTGTTAAGGGTGGAGTGTGAAAGAATCTAGTGCTAACATCACCCTCATTTAGCTAGTTTATCCTAGATTTAAGTTCCCAGAAATCTTCTTCATTTTTGAGGATTAGGTTGATTTCAGCAGTTAAATTTGTTTCAAGGTGTGACAGGTAACTACTGAATTGGTAGCTAGGAGATCTCTGGATTCCAGAAATTCTTGCTAGGATTCTCCTCTTTTGGTGGAAGATGTTTCCAAAGACTTCTTGGTGACCAGAGTCTTGAAGGAATCAGTGGATTGAATGAGGTTGAAATGATCTGAGAAAGCCCTATTGATGATGTTAGGGAAGGATGGGTGGCTAGCCCACATTGACTCGAACCTGAAGGGCCTTGATGGGTTTTTGTTTGGAGGCCCTACCAAGTTAATTTGTAAAGGGCAATGATATGAGTGGGTCTTAGGCAAGTGCAACACAGTAGCCTCAGGGTACTGTTGGATCCAACCTTCATTTGCGAAGCACCTATCTATTCTTTCTAGGATTAGGGAGGTTCTATTACTGTACCTTTTATTAGTCCAAGTGTATTTGCTTCCTTTATAGCCTAGGTCTAGAAGGTTACACTCATTTATATAGTTCCAGAACAGATTGTTGCTGCTCAGGTTTATGGGATTGCCTCCAAATTTGTCCTTGGCCTTTAAGACTTCATTGAAGTCTCCTCCTACAAACCAGTTGGC